TGTATGCAAGGTAACTATTTCTCGTATCCTTGTGTTTAAATTTAAAGTGTGTATAGAGAAGAGCTAGGAAAAGAAGGTTGTTCGAATGGAGGCTTTAAAAGTTAGAAAGAACTAGAAAAAAGCTTCAAAATTTTATTCGCTGCTATGGCTAACTGCATAGCAGTCCGATTTACGTAAACTCAACGAAAGGACAATCACTGAATCTAAATTGCTATGAAAGTGCGACTCAAAACACATGCTAGGCTCTTAGATATTCGGATTCAGTGATAGAGTTTACGTAGATAACAAAAAATGGACCTCCATTCTCTGAGTATAACTGCCTTTTATAGGCTTACTGGGGTAATAAATATTTAAGCTTCCCTGGGAATCTTATAAGATGGGATTTTATTTATCCTTAAGTTTTTTTCACATTCTACATTTTCACATTTTTAATTTTAATTTTACAATTATTTTATCTAAATTTTTATTCGGCTCTTGCTACCCATTTGCCCGTACTCTAACAAGAGTTGCATTTTATTCTTCCACTCGCTCTTATTTTTTTGTTTGCACTTTCGGCTATTTTATTGATTTTTTCTAAATTCCACAACGACTTGCAGTACTTTAGTGGTTCAATTCTACCTTGCAAATTTTCACTTTTAATTTGGAAATAAAGGCGAAAAAAATATGTAAGAAATTTGGCATACCTTGAAATCACATAAATAAAAAGTCTCCCGCTAAGTCAGACGCCTTTGACACACGGCAAATACCTTAGCGCGTATAACAAATTCAAATACAATGTAAAAACACACACATATACGCCGCACAGTGGAAGAGCTCCATATAACATGTGGCAAAAAGTAGTAAATGTGCTCCGATTTAGTTGAACATTGTAACGTACTCCAGGGTGCCTAGGATTGAATAAATATGAAAAATGGTTGAATTTAGCCTCACTGCAACGCCCACTATACTAGGGTGCGGATATGGTAAATTTTACCTGATTTCAATGAAATTCGATTTGTAGCTTAGTAAGAAATAAATCTGAAATATGGAAAATATCGACCAACTTTCACGCCCACTAACCAAACGAATTCTGGATTCTAATGTGGACTAGTAACATTCATCTATAATCGCAAAACTTTGGTGCAAGATCTCTTTTTGCGTTGAAATGCCGAGATATATAGAAAATTGTGTGGATTGGCGACCAGCCACGCCCCCTGCCACCATACTTGTGTGCGGAAATGGGAAATGTTATCCGATTTCAGGGAAATTCGGCCTGTAAGGTACAAACAAATTTCTCATTGCCGCCCACTAGTGTCAAGGAGGGAGGCCGTGCTGGTCGCCAATTCACATATTTTTTTATATTTCTGGGTTTTTATGCAAAAATATATCTGGCACCATATTTTTGCTATTTTGGAGGTTCGTTACTAATCCTTGCCACATTAAATTACAAAACTCTGATAGCTGGTGGGCGTGGCAGTTGACCGATTTTCATTATATTTCAGATATATGTCTTCTTAGCTTAATCCAAGTTACAAACCGAATTTTATTTCAGTCGGATAAAAGTTACTATATCCGCCCCCTAATGTAGTGGGCATGGCAGTTCCATTCATACAACACCGACTTCCTGAGTCCTTCGCTAACTGCAAGAGTAATTTTTCTCTGGAAAAAATCCTAGACATGTTTAGTGTGTCGAGTCAACCACTTAGTTGGATATTTCCACATATTTCGAAATTAGGACTTTCTGCCATTCTCAGACCACTGTACGCCGCACTCTTTGTGGCTATGGTAGCGCTTAGTCAGTCTATACTATTTGCCCTCTGGGCACTACCTTTTCCGCAAATACATTTACGTACCTTTTATGTAGAATGAGCGTACCTTGAGCAGCACGTTCGCTAGCTGGGCAACTAACCTACCCTACCTCCATCAGCCAAGTATGACTCGCTTCGATGCGGTTTTTTTTCGTAGTCAGTTTGCTGTGCTGCAACCCTCTCAGCATGTTCATTCGCTTTCTAACACTGAGGCCATATGCCTTTTTACCTTTTTTTCAGCGAGCATTTCAAATGGTTCTTCTTCGGCTGACTTGGACTGTTGGTTGCGTTTCTAAGCTGAAATCAATGACCTTTGCGGCGATTATTTTTTGTACTTTTGCAAAAAATTCTTATGCTGTTGAGTTATAAGGAATCTTTGGTAGAATATTCTTTGCACGTGTTTCCTGTCGTTTTTAAGAAAGTACGTGCGAATGTACAAAAGGGAGAATGAGCATGTGTTAAAGCGAAATCCTGGCGGAGAAATTTTTTTTCGGCAGTAAAATGTTAGATTTTAAGATTTGAAGACGAAGTATATTTCACTAATGTACGGCGAAATTTGCCTATTCATCGAAATTTAAACAGTTTAAGCTTTCTAAAAGTTTACTTCTACCATTTTTGCTCCTGCAACACTTACACTTTTCAATGCCTATACGAGAGACTGCAATTTCCCACTCGAAGTAACCTAGAAAACGATTTAACAATTTTAATAGTGCCAACATAGTACAACAACAGCATAGTAAACAGCATATTGAAGCAATTTTATAACAATAGCTAAAAAAAAAATACGAAAGTCATAACAACAACAAAAAAGTGTTAGTGGGGAAAACAAAAGATTTCAATCGATACTATTAACAACAGCCCCTAGTCGAAGTAAGACAAGACAAGTAGACACTTGTGCATAAAGAAAAGTGCTGCCGCATTTATTCGAATAGTCTGTGAGACGGCAAGTATGGCATTTAACAATGCACTCTTTTCTGGTTTCTGGCTAACAAAAATTCCATAACAAAATTTAATATTTTTTATTGCCTTTGCGGCATTGGCAACATTGCATACACTTAATTATAATATTAAGTATGAGATGGAGGAAGAAGAAGACCACATGAGCAGGCATACACACTGTGTAAGAGGTTAATGAAATGTGGCAGATAATACTTAATAATGTGAAAAAATTTAAATGACAATGGACTCTGTTTAAAGTGGCAGTGAAAAATGAGGCTAAAAATTAAGATGCATGAGATCCAATAAAAAATTTATGATAATTTCAACACATCTCAGACAATAATGAAGTAGCATTTTGTATTATTTATTGTGTGCTACCCACTACTCAAAAAAAAAAAAAACAGAAATGCAGAAAATTATGGAAAAGGCGCAAAAAAAAACGATCAGTCATATTTTTGTAACGGAAATCTTTTCTTTATCATACTTAATTATGCGCACTTAAGCAGCGGAATTTGACAGTTCGAGTGCATTGCAATTTGAGTGCCAACTGTCAATACTTATGTAGATACATACTTAGTTGCATGAACACTTTTTTAAAGCAAAAGGTAACTGTAAAGTGGAAGCTGTAGACTACACAAGCGGAAGTGTCAATAGTTAGAAGTGTTTGGAGGAAGTGGCGTGAAAGTAAGCGAAATAAAAGGGAAACATTTGTGAGACTAAACCGATGAAGGTTGAAAAAATGCAGGCAGTAGTTCGAAGAAAAATAAAATTCAAGAAATGGATGGGGAAAAACGTAGGCTGAACTGTTTAGAAATGAAAGTTTTTGAGAATCTTAAATCGATTTTTGGTGTACATAAGTAGTACAAGCCTTTCGAAGAATGAAAGTACATATGTATAATGAATGTATTCTTTTGTTTATTTGATTATTATTATTTTTTTTATAAAAGTATAGCTCATTATCTAACGAAAACCACATAAATTCATATTTCAAACTTTGTGCAAAAATTATAAATATTTTACGAAATTGCATATAAATTTTCAACTTTTTAAACATTTTTTTTTTTAGAATTTTTTTGAGTATGCAGTTTTATAGCCCTAAAAAAGCGCGTTGATTTTTGATAATTTTTATTCTGAACAAAAAAATTTCGAACCTGCTTTATATGGAAAAAATGCTTTAAAAAATTGCCAAAAATCAACGCGCTTTTTTAACCAACTTAAAACTTACACTTCATTGTACTAAAATTTAATGGGCTATCAAACTACATACTCAACATTCTAAAAAATCTGATAATATTTAAATGCAATTTTGCAAAATTTTTATAATTTTTACACAAAGTCTGAAATATTAATTTATAGCGTTTTTGTTAGATAATGAGCTATAATTTTATAAAAAATAATAAATAAACGAAAGAACAATAGGCAATATTTTGAAAGTTGAGGGATCTTATTTTAGAATATATCTTATATAAATTTAAATAGTTTTTGCTTCTCCTGTAAAATTTTTTCAAATTTATCAAATAAGGCCTTTACAACGAGTATACATACATACATATATCACTTCCACTCTGTTTAGAACCTTAGCCCCAGGTCGTACTTTATTCAGCACTATCCACCCACAACGCAATAAATCGTCATGTCATTGTATGCCACTCAGTTCTCAAACGAAAATTTGCATATTAAAAAATCAGTTATTTATTACTGATAATAATTTACGGTTTATAAAAATTTCAAGTCGTAAATTTAAGCTTACATAGAAGCAAGGCACAACACTCAAACGTTCATTTCAAATTCCAAACGTTTTCGAGTGCTAGGTAAGCAGAGAGTGTCATTTTTTTCTTGCTTTTTTGTTTGAAAGTAGTCAAGCCATAAGTCAGCGCTAGCAATTAATTGCACAGAATTTTTTGTGCTTCTCCTATTTTCAATAATACAATTTAAGCATTTTAAAAACGAAGTGAGCTCACGATTTTCGTTTAAAAAATGATTTAATTGTTTTGACGTCTCATGGGACAAATGAATGTAGTTAAATGCGGCTGAGTATGATTTCCTATTACACATACCGATTTATGCTATGCATGAATGTTCATACGACTGTCAACAGGTGATGGTAGCTAACCGCTGAACTGGTGTTCATATGTACATATGTATGTATGTATGTATGTAGTTATTCCATTGAGTATTCATCATTCAGTGGATGCATTGTTTAATTATAATATTTGTTGTTGCTCTTTTTGGTTTACATTTTTAATAACTATATTTATTTCTGCTCAATTACAGGTTACCCCAGTTAACGCTCAATGCCAAGAATACTATTTTACTTATGGTGAGTAGAAAACAATTACTTCAAAGAAAATTTATGAATCATAAATATACTTATTGCGTAGGCATATGCGCACGAATTAAAGCGAAAAAATTGACCTTGAGCATGAGAAGTTTTTAGAGTCACCAAGAATTCTTTCTACACGCCTGAAAAATTGAATTATTAGGTTTCAAAAAAAAATATCTTTAGAAAGATCGTTCAAGCACATCTGGCGTACAAAATTACCAGCACCAATGATCGATCATTATATTTAATGAGAAACCAAAAAAAAAACACTTAAATAAACAGATTGTCAACAATACTCAACAGATCCACTTAGTCTTCTGTTATTTGTCGCTTTTGCCAGATACCAATGCACAAAACAAAATATGAAAAAAATAACTACATTCGATCAGATAACTGCAAGTATATGCATGCTCGAAAAAAATGGACTAAACGCCATTGAACTGTGTCAAAGAGGTCACAAGCAAACTATGAAATAAAAACACTAAATTTTATAAAAAACAAAACTCAACATAACACTCAAATGTAACAACAACAACAACACAAAAAATAATTCTAGCTTTCAAACTTATAATTAAAAACCCCATGCACTTGTCGAGCTTGCTGGCGTCCATACGGCTGGAAATTGGTTCTACTCGCGCCTGATAAAGAGTGTGACAACAGCGCTGAAGCTGGTGTTTATTTTATTTTTGCTTGTAGCTTTTGGGGCATTACATTATGTCTTTCGAATTTTAAGCGTAATCTTGGTTTTCATGCTCGGCTAAGTGTTATTTTTATTGTGACACTTACTTATTTACGATGTGAGCGGCGAGTTTTGGAGCGATTAAATGAAATGTATTTAAGCTGAGCCATGGATCGTTTTTTCTAAGATTTTAAGTAGCTTTTGTTTGGAAGAGCTTTTAATTTTGTTTTAGAGATTCTTTGCTCTCTTTACTTTGCTGCTTCATTTTGCCATGCTCAGTTAATCAGCCGCAATTGACAGATTTCTTAAAATGAAATTTACATATGAATTTTGATTTATATGCCTCATTTGACAATTGTTAGGTCATAAATGTTGGTGCGTTGTCATAGATTATTTTAATTAGTGTACTAGTGCTTTTAAATGTATGTATTTTGTATTTACAAAGTGTCGCAAGTGGCGGATATTGTGTCACCTCGCGGGTGTTTGCTTGCATGAGGAACGAATTTTAGGGCTTTAGGCTTTGTTGGGTATTGGCATTAGGGATAGCTACATATATGCATAAATACATACATATTTTTGATATGGATTATTGTCGAAAATTTGAGTGCATAAAAGAGATGATTTTCAAACAAGACGCCAGGAATGAAGGAGTATTTTTTTTTAAATAAAATAATAATAATAATAATTGGAATGAAACATGTGCATATAAGTAAACTGTCGGTAAATATTCAATTAAAAATGTAGCAAAACAAATATCAAACAGGTGAATTCTTTTTCCAGAAACTAAAGTTCAAAAAAAATTTTAAAATTTTTTCCTGAAGACTTTAGGGACTTCAAACAATTGCCGAATTCTTGAAGTTTTTTCAACACATCAGTTAAACTCAATTTATTCATTATTATTTGCGTAATCAAGATTTTGGAGACTTTAAAAAAAATGGGAATTTGTACAAAATTAACTAAGCATACTTAAGTTATGAAAATGAACGCGTTCTTATAACGGGTGATTTTTTAAGAGCTTGATACCTTTTTTTTTAAAAAAAACGCATAAAATTTGCAAAATCTCATCGGTTCTTTATTTGAAACGTTAGATTGGTCCATGACATTTACTTTTTGAAGATAATTTCATTTAAATGTTGACCGCGGCTGCGTCTTAGGTGGTCCATTCGGAAAGTCCAATTTTGGGCAACTTTTTCGAGCATTTCGGCCGGAATAGCCCGAATTTCTTCGGAAATGTTGTCTTCCAAAGCTGGAATAGTTGCTGGCTTATTTCTGTAGACTTTAGACTTGACGTAGCCCCACAAAAAATAGTCTAAAGGCGTCAAATCGCATGATCTTGGTGGCCAACTTACCGGTCCATTTCTTGAGATGAATTGTTCTCCGAAGTTTTCCCTCAAAATGGCCATAGAATCGCGAGCTGTGTGGCATGTAGCGCCATCTTGTTGAAACCACATGTCAACCAAGTTCAGTTCTTCCATTTTTGGCAACAAAAAGTTTGTTAGCATCGAACGATAGCGATCGCCATTCACCGTAACGTTGCGTCCAACAGCATCTTTGAAAAAATACGGTCCAATGATTCCACCAGCGTACAAACCACACCAAACAGTGCATTTTTCGGGATGCATGGGCAGTTCTTGAACGGCTTCTGGTTGCTCTTCACTCCAAATGCGGCAATTTTGCTTATTTACGAAGCCATTCAACCAGAAATGAGCCTCATCGCTGAACAAAATTTGTCGATAAAAAAGCGGATTTTCTGCCAACTTTTCTAGGTAATAAAATTCAATGATTTGCAAGCGTTGCTCGTTAGTAAGTCTATTCATGATGAAATGTCAAAGCATACTGAGCATCTTTCTCTTTGACACCATGTCTGAAATCCCACGTGATCTGTCAAATACTAATGCATGAAAATCCTAACCTCAAAAAAATCACCCGTTACTTACTTGCAAAGTGGTGAGTTTGTAGAGTTTCTTGAACATTAATTAAAGTTATGTAGAAATTCAAAATAATGTTTGTTTTCAACTGAAAGAAAGAAAAACATACTATAAAAATGTTGAATAATTCTAGGGAAATTTTTAATGTTTGTATTCTTACACTTTTAAAATATCTAAGCGGTTTGAACAACAATTTACGAAAATTGTACGCGGTTTATATCATCAAGGTTGGGCAAAATGCGCTAATACTAGCTTAAGACCTCTCATTATCGCCCATGATACTTACAGAGTCACAGATATGTACTTATGTACATTAGGGTGGTAAAAAAAAAAAGTAAAGTTGGAATTTTAACGCTATCATTGTTCTATACCAAAACCAATTATACCCTTTTTTATTTTGAAATCAAAAAAAATATATATAAAGGTATTTTCTATAGAAAAAAATTTTTTTCGTAGAAATTATATAAAATTCTTGACAATCAATATGTTTATATCGGAAACTTTTTGTCTCTTCAGCAGACTTTCAAAAATAATAACCAATGGTTTATTTAAAAAATTTTTAATAATAAATAAATTTTTAGGTCCCCACAAAATGCAATACGGGGACCCATAAAAATGATTAAACAATGGTAAAATAAACAATCGGGTATTGTTATAAAAAGTTTTCTGAAGAGAAACATAGTTTTCCGATTGATAAATATTGATTTTCAAGAATTATATACCGTTTCCATATGAAATACATCGAAAACTTTGAGCCTCCTCTAAATATTTTTGAAAAAGGGGTATATTTTTTCGATATTAAAATTCCGTTTTAAATTTTTCACCAAATTTTTTTGGACCACCTTAATGTTAATATGTACCGTATTTATGTATGTGTATATGTAATTCACTGACTTATACTACTTTTAAAAATTCGCTAAGATACCACTACGCTAATATACCCAACCACTCAAAATGGCTTACAAATTGCTCTAGAGCAAGACACAAAAATTTACTGTGTTATCAAGGTGTGGAAGCCTTTGAGTGTAATTTTTCAAAACAATTTCACTTTAATTTTGCGCAGTGGCGGTAAATATTTGCCATCAAAGTTTCTTACTTTCGACGGCGAATATTAAAGACCATCCTGACATGCATGGGTCTTAGTATTCGCCTTCGGAGTTATTAAAAGGCAGGAGCTATGCGCGGACGATATGCGGAAGAAATCTTAAGCACACAGCTGTCGAACGATGTAATTATTAGCCAAAAAAATATATTCATGGAAAACGTTAAACTTGGCTTGGCAGTTTCACACAATCTTAACAAATGTACATGCATACAGACATACATATGTACAAATAGTTGTTTTCACTATAAATTTTCAACGGCACCCGATCTGGTTAAGGCCATGATTTTGAAACGTCTAATCATACAAAATTCGATCGCTTACTTGATGGACTCGTTGATAGTACTTCCATACATTAATGCCAAAAGCCTCCCAAGTATTAGAACAAATCTTACTTACAGAAAAGAATTTTTATTGTACTTTGTACCGGCTTAAAATAAATATCAAGTACTTATTCGAACATACAAATAAACGCAATAAAGGTTAGTGATATTTCGTAAACATATAACAAAAAATATATATTTACATATACATATATTTATTTTCGCTGTAATCAATCACAATGCCTAAGCCTTTACATAAGCCAACCCGGTTTGCGCGTGGTGCAAATCAATTATAGATACGCATGGAACTAGCACACGAGAGTGAGCGAGAATGCACTAGTTTAACAGGACAATAGGGCAACCAGAAGTTGTTTGAGGGTTTGCTGTTTTAAGGTGACGGCTTTAGGCTGGGACTTAGTGGCTTCAAAGGCGTCCAAAAGAAGCTGCCTTTAAGTGGTAGGCGGCCATTTAAATCGTAGTAAAGGAGAGGTGATGTAAGAATTGTTGGGCAAAAATAAAATACTGTCTCCACAGAAAAATAGTAGAGGAAATGAGTACTTTCGGCAGACAGTTCGTTTAAAATTTTGATATGTTGAAATCTAAAAATCCTTTGTCTTCAACAATTTTCACTCGCTTTTTTTTATCAATTTAGTGGGCTTAGTTTTTCGAGCTGGCCATATTTGTTACTGATAATTTTCTTTATCTACCTCGACTCAAATAAGCACATACTGAGCCGCATCATATTTCGTTGGAAATATGCCCGGCAATTTATTTCTTTTTTGAGTTTTTTTTGTATCGTGCCTCCATAACCACCATTTTTTACGCATGTTTTAATTGAAAATTGATCCTAAATTCAATTTATAGCCATTCATTTATGGCATGCAAATTTTGCTAAGGCACGGTGCTTCTTTAAGCGTTCAGTTATAAGTGGCCTTAATTTAAATCGACCGTTTAAAAGGCAACATTAAAGCGCCAGTTAAATCGTCCCTTCGCATGTGAGTGGGACGAGTGCACATGAGCAGCATAGTGTCATAAGCAATAGCGGCATAACCAACAAAAGCTATAACACATCTACCTTCGTCTATTGTAGGGTCCAGAGATGCAAGCCTTTGTGAGTGCCGTTTTGTGTCTATGTCGGTAGGATTTTATTTTTATTGACTTATGTTGGCTGCCGTTTGCCATTCAACAGCAGCTGCTGGCACAAACGCAGATAACAACACCAACACCAACACCAAGGCAACAATAATAACAATTTGCGTTATTGCGACAATGCGGTGATGGCATCATGCGGCATTGGCAAATCTATTTTCAACATGAGTGCATTTCAATAAATTCACATTTAATGCCATAACAATTGTGTCGCTGTGTTGATGCAAAGGCAGGACAGCAAGTCGTAGGTCGCCGTTGCCAGTTACACACATAGTTGTCGTTCATAGTCCCTACAGTTGTGCCTAATTGTTGTTGCTACTGCAGTGGTTTATTGGCATAACGAAGTCGAACAGAGTTGCAGTATTCATATAAATACTCCTAGCCTACTAGTCAGCTAGATGCACTATGTACATTAGGGCGGGTCAATTTGTATGGGAGATTTTTTCGGCCATGCGCCTGTAGCAAAGAAGGATTATATGTATAATTCTAAGCAAATTTGCCGATGAAAACCACAAAATAAATTTGGAGTTCGCAAAATTGCGAAAATAGCTAAGAAACCTATTTGGCTTTAGTGTGGCAAAGAGGTGCTATAAGGGGTTTTTTGGTATGAATAATTCATTTCTGCACTTTTACTTAAAACTTCCACCCGAGGTCGCACCAGTGAAAATTTTCGCATTTTCATGAAAACCTATTTTCGCAATTTGACAAACTTTAGAACTACACGTAGAATCCTTCTATAATATAGGCGCATAGTCAAAAAAATTTACCCGCCCTAATGTTAGTACATTATTATGTATGTATGTAGGTACCTGTGTAAATGTGCACGGTATATATGTATGCACTAGGTGTCACTTCTGTGTAGCGGCGCTACAAAGGATTATGCTGATAGGTTTGCAGGTCGCATGTAGTCGTCTACATCGCAGAATAATCCTTTTGATTATGTTTTGGTAAAGAGTTTGAAAACGAAGTATGCAAATAAAGACTTGCTTGAAATGGTTACATTTTTACTAGCACAGACAATTAAAAAAATTAGTATGTGGAAAGTTTGGAGACTTTTAAAAATGCATTGGTGAAAACACAGCAGTACTTTAACTTTAATATTAAACTTTTTTCTGCACTTGTAACCATTTTTGGTGTTTTTAGGGGTTTGGAGACTTTTAAAAATGCCCAAAATAACGAGAACAATGTCTGAAGACACTAAGGTTTTATAAAGAAACATATTCTGGCAATAATTTCCATGGTGGAGAGTTTGTAGAGTTTACTAAAAATTAATAAAAGCTCTCTAAATATAGTAAAAACGCTAAACTTGATATACATTTAAGCTCAACTCAACTGTCATGAAATAAATCAACTGTTTATGAGTACATATGTACATATGTATGTACGCCAGTGCGGCTGCCAATCTGCGTGCGCGATCGCCTGCTTTCATTTCACATCCATGTATTTAATGCACGTGAAACTGATTTTTTCGACTTTACCGTTTTTACTTTGGCTAACAACATTTAGACTTCAGCTTACACCTTTCCATTATGCATGCAAAGTAACAGAAATGTTTGCGCATATTTTCATATTTTTGCATAGCAGCAGACAAAGAGCGGGTACATTTTTTTTTTTATTTGTCGCGAGTGAAGGCATACACAATTGATATGACATTATAATCCGACACGTCACACTTGTCAGCAAAATATTGCATTGCCTGCCAAAAAACCACACACCTGCAACATGAGTGGCTTTGAAAGACAGCAAAAGTAATGCGCACATTCAAACATATATACATACGTTATGTTATGTAGGTATATAGAAGCCAGCAAATGGGCGTACCTATGTACATACATACATATGTATGGCAGTAGTGTATATTTTGCATTTGGCACGCTACTGCAGCCAAGCTTAGGTGCATATGCACTTGCATGCCGATTTGCGGTCGGTGCGCTGCGGTTGCGTGATTTTCGCATATTTCAATATAAGTTCTTATTTTATTTTTATTATGCATGGGATCAAATAACTGACTTTTCGCCGGCTTGTAAGGAAGCACAGAGATACAAGTGTTTCCGTTCTGAGCGCAGGCACCTGCATGTGACTGCACTCCTTTTTCAAATACATACATACAAAAATAGTATATACGCACAGATTTGCTTTACTTATTTTATTAAAAGCTTTATGATAGTATGAACTGAGTGTTTATTCAGCTGTTCTCAGTATCATTTTGGTTTTATCTCTGGCATCTGCATTTTTGATACGCATTAATAACAAAGGCCGTCACCACCACCTTAGCGGCGCATGCGTGGCGAACTCACCAGCATTGTGTGCCAGATGGCGTTCACTCTCATGCCTCACTATATCGATGTCATCATCACCAATTTTTGCTCGATTTCATAAGCATTATTTGGCAAGTTTCTTCACCACTTTTAATAATTATTATTATGGTGGGAAATTTTTGCCATACCCAACAAGCATGTGCTGTGCTTTTGTTCCTCAAACTTGTACAAAGTGAGCGTTCAGCCAGTTGCTGTTACCGCAATGAATTTCATCTTCGTTAATTTTTGTGACATTTTTCACTAGCTACATACATACATACATACGTGAATTGTATGGGTTTTGGTCTGTTTGCGTGCACAGTTTTTGTGGTGTTCTTGCAAAAAGCAAAATAAAAAAAAACAATGAACTGCATTTTAATTGTCGGCTATGCAAATAATGACTAATAAACTTGCTATTAAATGTGCGCGCCGATGACAATATTTGCATTTTTATTGTACATATATCAGTGCGTAATACCCACGATTCATGGACCCATAGCCGGACACTAGCGAGAACGATATTGTTAAGAACGTGTTTTACGATAGCGCCTGGAATGCTTAATGCTAATGAAAGTCATTTAATAATCTATGAGATGCGATAAATTGGGGTTATCTCAATGAGGGATTAAGTACAAAGGCGTGATGAAGAGAAACTGAAAGTTAATAAATATTTGAACAACATTGTACTATGAGATTGGTTGGCAACAAGTTTGCAGTCGATATTGTTTGTTTTGCATAAGAATGCCTCTAAAACACATACATGCATATGTATGTATGTATGTACATGTAACTGCAATTTCGCATGAAAAGTGAAGGGAATAGGTGTTTTAAACAAGTTTAGAAGCTGTATGTACTCATTTTAAAATAAATGTTAAAAGTCTCCAAAATTCTAAATGCAGATGCATATAATATTACGCTTTTACAAAGCGATTTAAGCGTGTTTGTGTGTCTTGAAAAGTTTTTTTAATTAATTTTGCAAAGTCTCCACACTCTCCAAAATTTTTTGAAAGTCTCCAATGTTTTAAAAGTGCCAGAAAGTTATATTTAAGCAATTCTTAGGTATTTTTTAATAAGTCTCTAAAACTCCACAATAGCAGAAAAAAATTATTTTCCAAACTGTAACTAGTTATTACTACTCTTACTCTTTTAGTGTACAATAGAAATGCTAATTTTACTCTTAACTTTTCTTTTCAGGTAATGTTTGCCTTTGTAGTTCCAGCCTATACAAAAACAAAAGACTATGTCTTAATGCTAACGAACCACAACGACCGAGCGCTACATATAAATGACGTCGGCAAGGTGACAGCAGCTAACATAGCATTTGCACGTGAGTTTTTTTCCATATCTTTTCCTTAATATGTAAAAGAAATTTGTTTATAAGCACCACACATTCTTTCATTACGTTTCAAGTATGCCACGCAAATTGAATAAGCAAAAAATCACTTACTTAATTTAAATATTCAGTTCACTTTTAAATACCACCCGCATAGAGACATTGGGTTTTATTGATAGTCGTAGTCATAAATAATCATCACTGAGTAGATTTGCTCACGCAACTGTTTATGTACATACCATTATATATGCAGTGCGTATTGTATGTATGTACCCATGCGCGAGTTAACAAATGTTTCGATAACTACAACTCAAGTTCATCTGCTTGCCGACTCATTTGTCTGTCGATCTGTCTGCTGTCGCCGTGCTGCCAAGGGAGCAATAAATTTTCATTGGAAATCTTTTTTCGCTTGCAATTTTTTAATTGAATTGGCTTTTAAGGCTAACATTTTTGTTTTGGGCACCTCCAGCTCTCAATAAGCTTGAACGCGAGCCTCCTTTTTGTTTGTTTATTTGGTCAGGGATGTCGTATTTGTTGTTCTTTGTAGCAACTTAATTAAATTATGGTAATTTAATATTTTATTAATGTTGATTTAGAGTCATAAATTAATAAATTCTTTATTAAATTGCAGGAATGTCGATTTATGTCAATTCATATGAAAAAAACACAAAAATAAAGCTATAAAATATATGTAAAGTTAATAACTACAATTAATTGTAGAGTTGCTTTACCGCCGCCAACGCGAGGCATTGGCGCCATCTGTCACTTAAAATGTTGGTTGCGGTTTTGCAGCAGTGAGCTCTTACATATATACATGTGTATTTCTGGACGAGTGCGTTATTTTAAACCTCTTAATTCAATAAAAATTATTTTTATTATTACGGTTGTCAGTTAAAAAAAAAAAACTCATACAACTAATACTGGTTCGCTGTCCGATTATCGCAAGCTTATGCGGCGCGCTTAACCCACGCATGCTCATATGTAAATAAAAATATACATACATTGCAGCAGGTGAAGTTTAACTATATATTTGGTTTGCGGTTTTCATTCGTTGTCATAATAGCCACTAGTGGCTGTCTGTCATTCATGCGATTTTCTAGGTCGCCTGTATTAAAGTTTAACATTCTATGCCGAATCGGACTAAGCCAATTAATTAGCCTGGGTGGCCTGATTATTTCAATTAAACTTTTTATGAAATAATTTAAGCAGTGAGTTGTCTATATGTGAATTAAAGCTAAGAAAATTTAACTTAAATATGATTGTACATACATATGTACGACAAGTTTTTCAAAATTTTGATATGATGCATTAAAGATCAGACACAAAATATTTTATTTTTAATATTTACATATGTATGTACATAGTTTTGAGTATTCAACTTAATAGAAGTGCTAAAACATTTGCTATGTCCCAAAAGTGTGTAAAACTTTTAAAATGTGAATTTGAAAAAAGTCTCCAAACTCTCCACTTTGCAAAAATTATGTTTTCAACATACAGAACTACAAAAAAGCATGTTTTTTGCAAAATGCATTTTTAAGAAAAGTCTCCAAGCTCTACATCTCTAGAAAATGCATATAAGAGGACGAGAAACCTTTATAATGCCCATAAACAACAGTTTTTTTTTTAGTTTAGTTTTCAAAACTAACAAATCCTATACATACTTAACTCTGTTGAACCTGGAAACCTGGTCATTTTAGATAACCAATTGCTTCTAATCACACTCATTTTCTGTAGCTGATGTCGCTTTGTATATGCCACTAAAACAAATAGCCTTCAATTACTAATCCTACTACTACTACTAAGTAAACAAACAAAACATTAGTGATAAAAGCGATAAAAAATTTTGAAACCAAAACAAAATTCCTTTCCGCACATTGCATGGACAGCTATCAGTAGCAATAAAAAGTCAATGATTTTTACACTTATTTGTAGTCTTAAAACTCTGTGTATGTGTGTATGCAAAGCTGAGGCATTGTTTTCGTTCGCAAAATATATGTATGTAGATATGCAGACAAAACATTTCAAAAGTGACGAGCAAGTGTAGAAAGGGCCGAAGGTGTGATTGAAAATAAATCGTAATACCCGCACTTGAATAAATCTTTTATAAACATGTGATAAAGTAATCAAATGTTAACGAAAAAACGAATTCAAAAATTAGCGTACTAGAGTGAAGGAACTGGCAAATACAAACAAAACGTAGTAAAACTTGCTACGCAATGGTAAATTGATAAAACTCCATAGCAATATACTATGCGACCACATGCATATACATAAATACATAGATACATACATATGTACATAATTGCATGGTGTTTTTGTTAGCGAGCTTTAAAATCGCAAACGATGATATTCGTCTCGTTGCTATAGTCGTAGCTGCTATTTATTACTAATGCTTTTTATATGACCTTAAAAATTTGTCAAAAATTCCAGCCATACTTGACATTTTTATTTTATGACACTTAAGAATTGATCGTCGCCGCATGCTTTCGTTATTGTTTTTTTTTTTAGTATTTATTTAGAAGTTGACTGTTTGTTGTGATATCACATTTACAAATCTAATAGGCGGGCGACTTGTTACAGTCGGCACTTATGTACCTATTAAGATATGAATATTTGATAACCGTGATAAACCATGTGAATGGCGCATGCCAAGAATTGTGGCGATAACGTATGTATGTAGATGAATGTGGTGGTGAGTCCTTTAGCTGGATTTAGAGCAAGTATGTGCGTGCATTGAAGCATGATTAACAGGCACTGAACCGATGTAACTTCTATTTTTATAGAAATTCTAACGATATCTCTTTAAAAAAGCCTTTTCGCAAAAAGTCTCTAAACTCTACACAATTAAAATTTATATAATTTGCTTCAGTAATTAAATTTTGTGCATTTATATATTGAAAAGAACACACATAGACTTAATTCAAAAAATTCAAAAATTCTCCAAAAATAAAAATTCTCGAAAGTGAAATAAAACACAATTTTCTTAAGAGATTACTCTAAATTTGTTACACAATTAACTTTTAATTGCCTTTGGTTTCATTGCAAACACTCACTGATATTAACTAAAGCACCAGTAAATTAGTATTCTGCTTCACTTTGACTCTGTTCCATAACTCTGTCATTATCTCTGTTGAACAATAGCAATTAAACGTGATTCCAGGAACTTAATCTACTGTGCATTACACTTGTTGCCTGCCTGGGTGTCCATTTGGCGACTCCATGGCGTATACGTAATATTTTAATTTGAAGTGCATTTTACTGCGGCCGTAAAAAGATTTGTATCGATAAAGTTTGGCTCTAGTTTCACGCGTACCTAAGCCACTAAGCCACTAAAATATTTTAGCTAATACGTATGGCAATTATTAATAAACTGTGATCGTTGCAGTCTTCATGGAATATTTATTTGTATGAGCACTTTGTGCCAATAGAAATGCAGTAGTGAGTAACCGCCGGAATATGAAAAAAAATTATTCGGTGCTTTAAACCTAAACACTTATAGATTTGCCTATTTCCAAGAAATTAACGTTTTGATTTTTTTAAGATTTTGCAACAACAGTTAAGCTAAAAGCATTTCAAGTATAAGGCAATTTAGCTTTCAGTGGTATTTGCTTCACTTATTTGTATTTCTTTGACTAGCAGTTAACTTATCATTTTCTGCAAAACAAAGAGGTATGCAGCTTATCGCGTATTTTTATAACATTATATACATACATATGCCTTTATACAGCATTTTATTTATTATACAAAGAAAGAGTGTGTGGTTATTATTTTAAGAATTTAAATTAAGTTTAAATTACGCTTAAGTTAGAATATCTAAAAAAATGTAGGCCAACTTTACTCGCATCTAATTAAATTTTCTAAATCTTCTTGCAGAGCCCTTAACCATGGATATAGTTGGTGATCCATTCAATGGCGATCCATTCTTTATAACGCTCTATGCCAAACAAGTTGGGCTGTTCTTGTGCTTTCGGCGTGGCAGATTAGTGGGACTGGTAAGTTTATTAAGCATTTTTATTGTGAATTTTTTAGAAGTTCATTCCACATACAAACAACATTTGTTTAAATAATGATAAAAAAAAAATGTTTAAGAGAAGTTTAAAATATTAATATTTTAACAAGTCCAATTTTCTATTTTCATGAAGATAAACTGACTTTAAGCAACTTTTTAAGTTTATCTGTTTGCGCCTTAACGTTAATTTTGGCTAAATATTTAGAAAAAGATTATTTAATTTTTTTAAAACAAAAAACTCTCCAAACTCTCCAACATGTAATTTAATACGAGGTAATGATTTTTCAAGTCCATGTATATATTTAGGGCGAAACATTAAAAAAAAAACACGTTTCCAAATAAAAATTAAGAAGTATCCAAACTCTCCATACCTCAAACTTCATACATAAAAACCTTCGTGGAAAAGTTTTAAACAACATTTTGAAGCTTTCGAAAAGAGCTATTAGAAATTTGAAAAAAAATGTAAAGCTCAACTTTCCGAGAACGTTTCTTTCTGTTTATGTCACTACATTCTTGTTCACTTCCCAATTTTAGCATGAGAAGTAAACAAGTACTTCTAAAGTATTGATTAATTAAGTAGATACATAGCAGTTAGTGCTCTCAATTAAGCTAGCAATTTAAGGGTGTCCAAAAATACACACTTTCTTGACAGTCGAAAAATTTATCAGCATAAATAAATTTTTTCTTGAATGACAACATATAAAAAATAATTAATTGCTCACCAGTGTGTATGCATTTACTAATAACATAGCGTTGGAAATTCCAATGACGTAGATATGGACTCAAAGTTTTGATTGATATGTGGCATTCAAAAGGCAGCCAGACAAGATATTGTAGATATACATAAATAATAGTTATGAGATTTTCGAGAGCCTCGAGTTGAAGTGGATTTTAATGGCAGTTATTTTTGTTACTTATTTTTGGAGCCAATATCTTATCTTAAACATTCTATTAGGTCATGATTTCTCACAGCCATAAATTCGCTTATTTCTCACTTTTTTAACTTTCAAGGTTTACCATTTATTTAATTGCCGTTCTGTATCTCTATCTTCCCTTTTTCATCCATATAGAAACAGCTCACCCGAGATTGCCACTTTAGTGAGACAATGGAACATGGCCACTACATGTACGCGAATGCTTACAATGCAACCCTGCGTGTCGGTTTCACGAAGCGTTTCAAGCCCATTGGTCCAAAGCGGCTGCGGCATGCACACAGCATCAGCAAGGATCACTTCCTCTTTGAGCGACGACATTTGACAGATATTATCACTAGTAGAAGCACCACCACAGCAACCACCACCACCACTACGCCTAGCACCACTACCACCACGACAACAACACATACACCCAAAGCCACACGCATCCAACGCAATAGAAACATAGCCCACAACCACAATGAAAACAGCAACAATGACAATAGCCACGCGTTGAAGCCCTCCGTTGGGCTGAAGCGCCCGCAGCAACAACTGCAAGAAGAACTGCATACAGAAGCTGCAAAGAGTATTACTAATGATAAACATAACAATAAACATAGTCATAACGAGGATAGTAGTGTAAACGATTATAATAGCAACAAAAACAACAAGAGTACCCACAATGTTCCACAGAGGCAGCAGCAGCAGCAGCAGCAGCCCTCAGCCGGTTTGCTGGAGGAGCGCTTGCGGAAGTTACATGGCGCCGAGCAGCATCCACTGCGTCACGACGGCAACAGTATTAGAAATAAAAACCGCCGGCGACGTTTGCAGAATCGGCGCAAGCAACGCCAGAACCAACACAATTTGCAGGCAAAGAATCTGGTGCGCCAAAACCACAACAACAGCACAAAGATGGCGCGACGCCGCCAGCATGAGCGCGAGCAATTGTTGCGCAAACAGAGTCGTCACCGACAGCAAGTGCAGGCGCGGCACGAGCAACAACAACGGCAACAGACGCCGCCACCGACGCGTGGCGCGGGCGAAGCGGCTAGTTCTACCGCTTCCACAGCGGCCTCTGCACTCACAGCCACTGCCGCCTCGTTGGTGCCCACAACACTAATCGACATTATGGCCATGCTGGCAGCTTCGCGACGTAAGCGCGGGCGGCGGAAAAAGGAAGCCACCGCAGAAGAAAACGAGAATGCAACGACGGCGGCAGCGAGAACGGGTGGCCGAGCGCATAGCGCGACACACGCGTCCGCCGACATGCAAATAGCGGTATCACAAACAACCTTACAAAATGTGGTGGCTAAGAAGCGAGGGACGGAATGGCTGCCGCTGGACGAGGCGGAGGAGCAGGCGAAGGCGAGAGCGCAGGGTGAGGCAGCGCTGGGTGCTGCCACGGCTGGTGGGATGAGTGGTGTGCGAAATGAGATGGAGGTGCAGCCGACGCACAGGCATCGGCATCATCATCATCAGCTGCGGCCGCTGGCGTTAGACGCGGCCGCTGAACCAGTGAGCGCGGCGCAACATGTTGCTGAGAAAGTTGCGCAGGCGCAGGCTCAGCCAATAGAGCAACAGCAACCACATGAATACTCAAATAGTTATGTTAATAGTAATTTAAATAGTAATTATAAATTAAAAACTTATTCTAATGCTAATAACGGTAAAGATAATGTTAATGTTAATAATTATGTTAATGCAATACCTGCCTTGCCAAAAAACTACTTATACGAGAACACTCACCAGCGCACCGATTATGATGTTCATAGTCACGTAGATGATGAGGACGATAATGATAACAATTACAGTAACCGCAATGCTAGAGCGCATAGTGAAGCTGCTGGCGGCGAGCATGAAGAGCCAGCTGCGAAAAGTGGTAGTCATAGCGCCGCCAATGGGCGTAGCAGCAGCAGCAGCAATAGGAGTAGAAAAAGTAGTAGTAGTGAAATAAGTAGCCATAGCGATAGTATTAACCCTAGTATGACTGATTATAGTAGTAACAGTAACTCTAAGTTTAGTCAAAAACAACATCAACAACAACAGCAAGCACTTAGCCATACCAGTAGTAGACGAAGATATCGACGACGAGCTGTTGCGACCGAGGCCACAAACGAAGCTGAGGCAGCAACAGCTCATGACGAACGCGCCGACAGCGTACACGCTGAGGCGTATGACGATGTTGCTGACAATATTGGCGATCGGCATGTTGCTGAGCAACACCTGCCAGATCAACAAGCGCAGCAACAAACAGATTTGGTAAGCAGTGAAGAAGCTGCCGCGGAAGTAATCACTACCGCAGCGAGTTTCGAGCGCCAAACAAAAGAATATAATACGAATACGAATAAAAAAACAAAAACGAATATAATAAATGCGAATATAAATACGAATACCAATAGCGGAGATAATAAAAGTATAATTGATAACGTTAGTGTTAATAGTAATATTAAGAAGGTAAATTGTAAAGATAAAGGCGAGCAAGTGAGTGCTGCAGTTGTTGCTGTTGACGATGTAAAAAAAGACAATAATGTTAAGCGTATTTTTTTTCGTATACGCCTGCCGTTTTTTCGTCAACATAGCATCAATAACAACAACACTAACAATAATAACAATAATATTATGTATACTATTAACAACAACATTAATATGGATGTCGTAGATGAAGAAGAAGCTAATGCTAATCAAATAAATGCGAATGCGAATGCTATGGCTAATGCTAATGCGAATGCTTTTCAAACGCAACAACAACAAGCTGTTAATAATATAAATATTAATAACAATGAAATTAATGTTGCTGCTGCTGTTGCTGCTGGTAATGTAGCTTTTGCTATTCATTTAGCACGCGCATATAATTATTACGATAATCAAAATGTTATTGATGCTAATTACCATGATGGTAATGATGATGACGAAAATGTGCATGCTGCAAATAACGATAATATTAATAATAATATTGATCATGTTTATGAGCATTTGTTTGCTGCTAATCATAAACGTTTTTTTCGTAGCTTAAATTATGCTAATACTAATCACAATGTGAATAACTATACGAATGATAATGATGATAATGACCAAGGCGATGATGATGATAATGATGAATGGAAAAGAAATCATAATAAATATGATATGACTATAGTACAATACAGATATGTAGTTGTCTTTTATTAAAATTGCTGAAGCAGGTTAAATGTGGGTGCGAGGTGATGGGCATCTTGAGGAAACGGGAAAGAATGGTTTGTGATACTTGGAAAACGCGTCAAAAGATGTTTTAATGGTATCATGGTTCAAAGTAGGGGTGTTTATAGAGTTACATCCAGGTGTCTTCGTATATGTTTCGTTGATGGGTCAAAGAGAAAACCAACTTTCATCTGTAGGATAAGATCCAGTGACATTGAATTTAATGGAATTCAGAAAAAGCGAAAGACTAACTGAAAACTGTATACCAGTTGAGAATTGCACGCTCTACACGAGGTAAAGGTGGGTTAAGAAGGGACATTTTTCTTGAGAGTGAACAGGGAAAGAGGAAACAAGAGAAGGCTAAAAGAAGATACACAATTATATTGAACCCAACAGCTAAAAATGAGGTGTTAATTCAGCAATAAATTTTCGTAAATCGAAATGGAAAACTTTACTCCTAAACTTTTTGAAAAATTGCAAAGTTGATGCTTTGATGGTGGCATAGGTCTCAAATTTGACATTGTTAAAACTATCAACACAACACAATCAGAAATATGCTCCATACATCTGTGGATTGATAGAGAGATATAAGTAGTACAGAGCATGTCAAGGCAATTGTTTCATTACAAGAAATTTTTAAGTAAAAAAAAAA